TATTGGTTACTTATTAAATGCATGTGTTTAAAATTTTTATTGATTGAGGTTCTGTGATTTACAATACCATTAATTATGGTTTACCAGGCACATAATTTCAACATCACACCCATTACCAGTACCCAGCTCCCTCCCCCAAGAACTACAATCTCCCTCCCTTTAAGCCTTTCTATACACACCGGATCACTTGTGTGGATCAGGTCTCCATTATGTTATCTTTGGCTCTTTATTACTACTTTGCAGTGTATCTTTAAGTCCTGTATATGGGAGATTGTTCTGTATCTAACCCTTTCCTAAGTTAGTTGTCTTAAAGATATTACTGTTAATGCCCCAGATCTACCTTGTGACAGTTTCATGACCTGCAGAGATGGTGGCTTCTATGAATGCAGACATGCTGATGACCTACCTCTTCATTCATTAGGCACAGAAAGTCCACATGATCAGGTCTAATTGGCCCATCTGAGGAATGATCTCAGGTCAATGTAAAAAGACAAAGGTTATACTAAATTTTCTAAGTAACTCTGAACTGCTGGGCCCTAAGCCTGTTTCTGGAGTCACAGAGCAGAGCTGTTCAGCAGTTCTCCCTTTGATGAGCAATTAGAGAATCACTATTTTAAAGTTAGAATCTCTGATGCTCCCTCTAGCCTCTCCAGAGTAAGTAGTTATGAGATGTGGTAAAAGGGAACACTGCAATACTGTTTTGAAAAGAACGAAGAGTTTAGACAGAAACTAGTCAGAGACTCTAAAAGAAAGCGTCAAATTGGTGTGAGACTGGCAGAATTATTAGAAAGGAATGTCACAAATCTTGGAGTTCAGTGACTATTTTAGTTCTTTTAATACAAGTAATGTTTTAAATGGACATATTGTTTATGATCACATATTGAAAATGAATCAAATACACTAGCTGTATATATACAGATACATGTCTATATAAAATACATCTTGTTATTGGAGTAATTCTTTTCCTGTTGTAGAATTTCTTTGAGAAATACTCTGAAACTTCAGTAAGGCACAATACTACCATCATATTGCACTAGTAACTGAGCTGAAGCTAGTCCTCACGTTCATTTGAAAAAACTTATCAGATTTACACTTATCGTAATTTTTGCTTATTCTTTTTTGTTTGTTTTGACTTTGGGGCTACACCTGGCTCTGCTCTCAGGGATCTTGTTGGTGCTCAAAAGACTGTCTGTGGAGTTGGGGATAGAACCCAGGTCAGCATCATACAAAGCAAGCACCTTACTTGCTGTACTATCTCTCTGCTCCTCTGATCATTCTTTGGGGGTGTGTATCACTTACTAATAAGGACCTGTGTCATTACATATGCTGTGATGACTTTTCCCTGTGATTTACTAGACAGCTGTCTATACTGTCTCTCTCGTTACTTTCACTTTTTGACTTTATTATCTGGTCCAGCTTGAACTATACAGACAACACCCAAGAGATGGAACATTACTCCCACTTTCCCAGGAAACCTGATTCAGGAAAGAGAGGGCTGGAAGTGGCACGATTCCTCCCCCTCCCTCTTATCCTTAGACTGGTGGTGTGCATTACTAGGAAAAGAAGCATTTCATCCAGGCAGGCAGAGAAAAAGAGAAGAGTCTAATGGGGAACATGCCAGAGAAATAAGATTAATGTCCCTGTCATAATTGGTAGCTTGGTTTCATTTTTTAACATAGTAAAGTCTCTGAACAATGAAACAGGACCAAAATACAATGCAGGGATGTATTGACAAGCTAAATAGAATTTTAAAAATATCAGTCACCATTTGGAGGTATTAGAACTGCTACCAGGCTCCCTTTCCCCCATTTTTTAATTACTCAAGCCCTTACTGGCTTGAAGGGGTGCAGCCGGAGGTCTGCGGGGGGGATGCAGGATTGGGGTTCTGTGTGCTTGGGTGTGTTGGATCATGTCCAGTGGGACTTCCATGTGTTGAGGGCCCTGGTGGGTGGCACTAATGATGCTCGGTGCTGAGGATCCGGGCCGGAGGTGCAGGAGTCGAGAGTGTGGGCTGGCTTGGAGGTGGCACATGCAGAGGTTCCGGGTAGGAGGCAGCATGTGCCAGCAGGCCCGGCAGCAGGGCAGGGCGGGACCGAGGTAGCACGTGCCGGGGGTCGGGTGGGAGGCTCCAGGGGCTGCCCTGCAGTGGTGCTGCCTCCCTCTCCTTGAGCAGGCGCATCTGTTGCACAGCCCCGGGACACCGAAGGGCTCAGCATGCCCTGTTTGGTCTGAGCTGTTTTCTACCTTCTCGCAGGCAGGCCCAGGAGCAGGCCCTGAGGTGAACCTGCCCAGAGCCCTGCCAACCCCGCTGCTGCTGCTGCTGCCACCTTACCTGGATTGTGGATGGGACCAGCAGCCATAGACCACGTACAGGAAGCGCATCCTGCAAGCTGTGGGCCTGAGCGCCCTCTCTTAGCATAGGACCCGAAGGAGCTGAGGGCGGTAGGGACCTGGACCCTCACAGGAACCCATGCAAGGGACAGATGTAGCAGGGAGTACTTAATCCATGTGTCACCCACATTGACACCCACTTTTGTGCCTGGCCGCTTTGGGGGAACAGTAATGATGGTCCATTTCACACAGCTACTCCAGAAAATGGGATGCTGAGACCTGTTTACGCCCCCGGCCTTGATTAATTTGGAGGTGGGGGACAGGATCTCCAACGGTGCTTAGGAAGCCTGACCCTCTTGGAATCTTGGGCTGGACCAGAACGGAAGTCCATGTGGGTGGGGGGCCTGGACGGAAGTTCATGTGGGTGGGAGGCTTAGACTGGAAGTTCATGTGGGTGGGGCCTAGACCAGAAGTTAATGTGGGTGGGGCCTAGACCAGAAGTTCTTGTGGGTAGGGGAACTGGACTGGAAGTTCATGTGGGTGGGGGGACTGGACTGGAAGTTCATGTGGGTGTGGGGGCTGGACCGGATGTTTATGTAGGTGGTGGGCAAGACATGACACTGAGCCTGCTGACCTGGGGCCTTCCCAGGCAGCCCCAGCAGCATTTGGGAACCTCCAGGATTGCACCCTGCAGTACTGGGGTGGGGGTGGGGGTACCATATTGGGCCAAAGATTGAACCGGAGTTGGCCCTGTGCAAGGCCAATACCTTAACCCCTGCATGCTCTCTGGACCAAGACCCCAGAGTATTGCATGGGCAGTTGCCTGTTGTCCAGTGTGAAAGACATGGAGTGACAGAGGGTACTGCCAAGGATCCTGGGAATGAGACTCTCTCTCTCTCTGGCCTTACACATTGCAGCCTCCCTCCCCCAGAATAAGTTGCAGCCTCTGTGGAAGGGCATTGTCAAAGCGCAGCTCAGGCTGTGAGATGAACTGGCCCCTGGAGGAAAGGTGCAGGTCAAGGCTGAGAGGTGGGAGGTCACCAGAAAGTTGAAGCCCTCTCTTCAGGGTCCTTCCTAATTTAGGAGTTTGCATAACACAAATGCCCCTGAGGGCCTGGAGAAGGAGGAACATCAATCATTTTCTTCTGGGTGTTACTTAGTGTCCTTATTGACTGTCTGGACTCCTACTCTGCTGATGAGAGCATGGCAAACCAGGGTGTCCCCAGGGTGTCCCAGATTTTGAGTTAAGGGACTTTAGGCAGCCAGATGGGGAGAGAGAAAGGTTCAAGGAAGATGGGGGTGGGGTGGGGGGAGTGTCATTGTCATGTGGGCCTTGAGTCATGCGTTGCAGAATCAAAGCATGCACAGGATAATAATGATGGACTTGGGTCTATATGTGGGCACTCTGCTGGGTGGGAAGTATTTTAGGAACCTAATTGGCAAAAAAAGTCACGGTCATGGTCATGGTCCTCCTGTTATTCATCGATTTGCTTGAGCGGGTCCTATAACATCTTCATTGTGAAACTTGTTGTTACTGTGTTTGGCATATTGAATACATCATGGGTAGCTTGCCAGGTTTTGCTGTGCGGGTAAGATACTCTCAGTAGCTTGCCGGGCTCTCTGAGTGGGGCAGAGAAATCGAACCCGGCTCAGCTGGGCCAGCTGCGCACAAGGCAAATGCCCTATGCTGTGCTATCGCTCCAGCCCAGCCAAAAAAGTATAGTGGTTAAATTTGGAAGACAGAGGAATGCTTCTGACATCGGTTTCTTCATTTATACATAGCCTGAGCTGTACTTTTGTGACCAGCAAATCTCCCTTCCCCTGGAGGGTGTTGAATCTAATTCTACTGGCTCCCACCTAACAAAATGCTTTCTCCAAAGCTTCTTTGCTTCCTATAATCCAGTCCAAGTCTTTTCTTTAGAATGCATGTGTTCATATTTGAGCCCACAATGTCCGTCTTGCCAACAGCTCTGGATAACACCAGGGCTATACCATCAGAGAGACAGTAGCTTAACTAAGACTATTACTAATCGAAGATATTTGGTAAATTTTATTATTTTCGGATTAGACTCAATTTTGGATACCATGGACTTAGGCAGAGTCAAAGCAGTATTTATGAGGTCAGTCTCCTGACCTTAGTTGTGTGGCAGTAAAGCACTTATGTTTGATATCATATTTGCTGCTGGTCACAGTAGGAGAAAATGTTATTAATGGTTTCCTTTTTTAAAATCCCCAGGTATAAAATGACTTGTGTTTCATGTAGCCTATATTGCATTCATATGTTTTCTTTTGCAACAGAGCACACACAGTTCACACTTAAGAAAAATGGAACTGGAAAAATCACTATATTCTATTATCTCATCAAGGTCTGGATGTAAATTAAGAGAAAAGTGTCAGTGCCAAGAAAAGGTTCTTTAAAGATAAAAGAAGATGTGGGATCAGGGATGCTGAGGTCTCCGAAAGACCTTAGTGTCAGGCTCTCTCCCTTGAATATGGATTCTGATACGCTGAATTAACCACCAGTTGTGGTCCAGTGCGGTGATGGGGAGGATTACAAGTGGCATTGTCTATTGACAGAGCGTGGCAGGATGACCCAGTCCGAAAATCCAGTTCTGAATGAGCTGCCTCAGGGATAAGACCCTCAAGCATTGGCAGTCTTTGGGTGCCCCTCAGTAAGCTCTGCGGCACTCGAATGACCCCCAGGTCATGCTCCCATCTTCTTTGGTCCATGGAGAAGAATCCTGCAGCACGGAGGGATCCGTGCTCTCATCAGGCACCATCTTGGGTGGTTGGTCGTTGGACACTGTCATGAAGGGGCTGAAGGGGTAGGAGGATGGGGTGGGGTACCCTGGGCTGTGGTACAGATCCTCCAGTGCATGCAGCGAATAGGATGGAGCCCCGGGCAGTGCAGGTGCCCAGCTCGAGCTCCTGTGCTGGCTGGCACTCCCTGACTCCAGCTGGGACAGGCAGCTTGTGCCTGGTGACAGGGTTGGCAGCGTGTCTGTGGGTCCAGGGTCTGGTTGGCCGAGTCCTTCAGGCATCGTCTGCTCCCATGTGTCCCTCTGGGGAGAAGGCAAAGGTCTTAGGGGTGAGTTGGCAGGGTATATTCGCATGGGGACAGAGCTTTCTCCCCTGGACAGGGCACTGCCAGTGCGTGGCCTCAGCGAGCCTGTGTGCTGGCAGGCCTGCCCGCACCACTCGGGCCTTACCCGTCTGGAAGGTTGGTGAGCAAAGTTCCACAGGATGGGAACACGGGAGTGGGGGATGGGGAGGAAGGCAGCAGCTGAACCCTGTCTGAGCTGTCACTGTGGGGCCCTTTGCTGGAGGATGATGGGGAGCAGCTAACAAGGCAGTAGGGTGTGGACATAGCACCTATGCCCCTTTTCTATTCCCCCACCCCCACCCCCGGGTGGTCCCTCTGGCTGCCCTGCTGGGCATGGGTCTTGGAGGTAGGCTCCTGACTGAGCAGCCAGTCACAGGCACTTCAGCCTGGGGGTATGACTGTCTGGGCTGGTCTGATACTGCACCCCAATCTCAGGCCTTTGTCCACTCACCAGTACCAGGTGTGAGGGGTCTCCGGGGAAGGGTGGTGGAAGCAGCGGCGGCAGGGGTGAGGCACTGAACAGAGAGCCTGGACTGGGGGTCAGCGCCGAGGGGCGGTGGTCGCTGTAGGGCTCCGGGAAGTAGGGATCCAGGAGGGCTGGGTGGCTGGAGCCCGCTGAGGGCTCGCAGGGAAAGGCCTTGGCCGCGCCAGAGCCACAGACGTCACCTGGATACTGCTTGGTGCTGTGGAAGTCCGAGTCGGAGAGGAATGACCTTCTGATGCCGTAGAAACCAGACATGGCCGGAGAACCTGCTGTGGAAAGTGAGTGCAGGGGGCAGAAGGGCCGTTTCGGGGACCAGAGCATCTCTGTGGCCACTGGGTTTGCTTGGGAAGTGGGGTTCGAAAGCGGGTTGGCTACCGAGGCTAGCATTGAAATAGATTCAATAGACCACCAGGGAGGTGCTGCAAGAGCTGAAAGGGGGGTCCCTCGGGAGGGAGCTCTGGTCGGATCCCCAGTAACTTGCAGTCCCTCAGCATGGTGGAGAGTGATTCCCCCCAACCCCATCCTGCCCAACCAAGCACAGTGTCTGGAAAAGTAGTACCTAGCGTTGCATTGCTGCTTCTAACTGGTTCCCTGCAAATGACATATTTGTATGAGTTCGTTATGTTCTAGTTTTAGTTCATTCCAATTAGGCTCTCATTCAGCAGCCTTTGATTGGACTGAATCTGTGCCAGGCACAGTGTTGGGAAGAGATGAGAGAGAGAGAGAGAGAGAGAGAGAGAGAGAGAGAGAGAAGCCCATCCCTAGGCATTCCACCAAATAGAGGAGGAGCACCCCCACTCCCCCCTACCTTTCTCCCAGCTTCTGAGCCTCTCCACACACACTGGACCCTTAGCAAGGTCCAGGCTCTTGGGCAAGTGCTCCGGGGCATTCAGCTTGTCTAGGCTGCATGATGCTCGCCAGAGGCGGGATTTACACCGCACTCTCCCCACACTGCCCTCTGAGGCAGTGCTGCCCCTGCAGAGGCTGGCAGGGGAGGCTGGGGCTTCCACGGGGTCCCGTCCCGTGTTGTTTGCTGCCCTCTGCTGGCCGCCGCGGGTTTACAGTTCCCTGCGCGTCTGCGCGGGAAAGAGAACGTGGGTCGGGGAACTTTATTTCCCGCGTGGGAAAGCCAGAGGAGAGGCCTGAGTGCCGAGGCAGGGGCCAGCTCGCTGAGGGTCACGCCAGGGACGCTGTCCCTGCTGAGGACTGTGTAGCTCTTTATTAGCTCATGGCACCCAGAAATATTTGAGAGTGTGCTGTGGAAGTGGTCTCCTTAGCTAGACCCCACAGCCCGAGCCCAGAAGGGCTGGGAAGAAGGGAAGGCATCCGCCTTGCTTTATTTTTATGTGTCAAACTCCTTCGTCATCCCCCACCCACAGTGGACTGCTGCCTGTCTGCGCGCAGACTCAGGAAGACCCCTCCTGTCCTTTGCAATTAGGGCTCATGGCATGCTCAGCACTTTGGTCAAAGCCACAGGATCAGACACCTCCTCTTGAGCCCTCCTCCAAACCACATGCCAGCTCTGGGGTGGGTGGGTGTTGGGCTTAGGTCTAGTCTGTTTTCTGCAAACCTGGAAGTCTAATCCTGAGCTCAGACACACAAGTGTTCATTCGTTATAAAGAAGCCAGGCTTGCCCCTAGAGACTTACAGCACACTCTCCTTGTCCTCCACATCCACTGCCCACCCTCTAGCCTCACACTTCTCATCTGCTGGGGAACATGAAAGTGGCAGCAAGAGGTTTCACCATAAGCAGAACAAATGAAAATTCAATCAATAAGGTTCTCTCTCATGCCATGAATCTGCATCCTTGGGAGTGGTGGACGGTGGGGACAGAATAAAGACTGCAAACAAGTCTTCCAAATACAAAAAAAAAAAAAAAACCACAGCCTTCTGCTCTTAAAAATTTTTTTGGTCTTTTTTGGTGGGGCTACACTTGGCGGTGCTCAGGGCTTTTGCACTGGCTCTGCACTCAGGGATCACTCCTGGTAGGGATTGGGGGACCAATATCTGGTGCCCAGGATCAAAACTGGTCAGCTGCATGCAAGGCAAGCGCCTTACCTGCCCGCTGTACTATTTCTCTGGCCCTTTTTGCTTTTCTCCTTCTCAAGGGGGAGAATAATTCTAGGTGGAAGAAGAGGCTTTAGGCACGCTGCGGAAGGGGGCAGAAGCAGCCAGGTTGCAGTGGCCATGGCCACAGCTGAGAAAGATCTTAGAGACATGCCCACACGGGAAACCTTCCCCTGCCCCAACTCCAGCCCATGCTGCAGCTCTGACGGTCCCCACAGTTACTAGGCCACTTCTGAGGGGATGTTTGGGAGCCGTGTGTGTGTGTGTGTGTGTGTGTGTGTGTGTGTGTGTGTGTATGCACACGTGGATGAGAGCACACCTCCTTGATGAGGGTGGTCCCTGGGCACCTGGAAGTGATGATGGGAAATTCAGGGAGAGCTCTCTCAACCCAGGGAATGGCGTGCTGGTACCCTCCTCTGCCTGCAGGGCTGCCCCTTGTCTTATCTCTCAGGCCAAGTTGCCAAAATTTTAGAGATGGAGACATTGTCTTGGGGGAAGGGGGTTTCCTTCTATTGCTTTGGCACGGTAAGTTGCTTCCAGATGGGGGATCAAAAGACCATTGAAACAAAGTACTGTTATCTAGAATCCCTGCACAGGTCTGTCTTTGCTGCTTTCCGCCTTGGTAGTTCAGCCAAGTCTGACTCTAGGAGACATGTGTGGCGTTTATAGAAGCATGGGGGCCAGGGAGATAGCACAGAGGTTAGTGCACATGATGAGTGTATACCTGGGAGTGATCTCAGCCCCCACAGGCCCCATGAGCAGGGCCAGGGTTAGCCCTGGACCACCACCCCTATGCCCCAGCCCACTGGGTATGACCTTGGTGGCCCCAAGCACCAGGGTGTGAACAGCATCCAACCCTCACTGAACCTCTTGTCTGTGTGCCTGTAACTCATGGGGGTGGCCCTGGGTCCTCTGGGGACCACTTGGGAGGCCCCACCACCCCATTGTCCCAAACAGCCACACCATGAAAGCCCAAAGTTTCCACCGAAAGCTCCAAAGGAAATGAAGTGAAATGCTGGTAGAAGTCGGATACTCACCTGGTACCTGGGTAAATGGAGACTGGGAGGTGACACCACCCTGGAAGGCAAGGAGAGCACAAACCTGTCAGCAGTGCATCGCCCTGGCGTGGTTTCCTATCGTCAGAAACATTGTTTGGGGTGGCTCAGTGAGGGGGAGCAACTGAGTAGCAGAGAATGAAGTTTTAGGCTCTGGGAAACACCACCCGCCTCCACACGCCGAGCCCTGGCTAGATGAAGTGGACTGGTTTATTCTTTGCATTTTGCTGTTTGTGCTAACATTCCGTATCAAATAGAGATCCAGTGATGATGCTTGTGTCCATTCACATGTGCACATGTTTAGCCTATAGTGTCACTGTCTTCACAGTCTATGGTGCCACCGTCTTCACAGTCTGCCTTCACATAGACTAGATGCTCCCCCAGAGCTCCAACCTTTCCCGTAACTCATCCCTCATCCTCAGGGTCCAGGACACTGAGGTGATGCAGTGCAGACTTGGGAGGTTGGAGGTTGATGGTGGTAGAATTATGTCTCGATCTCCCCGCCCCCACAGTAACCTATGGACCCTAATCCTGTGGCATATTAATGGATACAACCTTATTGGAGACAGGAATTCTGAGTTCTGACCTGTGGTGGGGTTAAGATGGGGAGGATATAGTGGGTTAGGGTGGACCCCTCATGAAGCAAGCCATTGTTTTTGTAGGAAGAGGGCAGAAAGAAGCAGAGAACTGGCCTCATCAGGCAAGAGGCATAAACTCTTAACCCCAAGTTAAGAAACACCAGGAGCTGGGTACTGGGTACTGGTAATAGGTGGCACAGTGGGAGGGACCTCCCTGTGCCTGCTGTTTCCCACTCTGCTCACTGTCAGCCTCTGTTCCCACATCCCAAGGAGGCTCAGTGAAGCAGCACAGTAGGGGAGAAGGGGGCTGAGAGCAGGAGTGATCAAGTCTTCAAACAAACAAATGCAAATTCACGCCCCAGATGCCTTGAACAAGGTGGAAAATGTAGCTGCTATAAAATAAATAATTATTGATCTTTAGAGTTCTGATCTGAGCACTAAGCACTGACCCCCGTAGGCTTGGTGCTTCTGAGCTGGGCAGGATTTCATAGTCTCTCCTGCCCACCCACCACTAACGCCAAACCTCTCTCTGTAATATTAGTGTGGGGGCGGGAGTGGGGGCATGTGGGGGACAATTGATGTCTAATGAAGGGGAACCCAGTATTCTTAGAGGAGCACACTTACTCTTTTAACACTCTCCTACCCTTTCCTCTTAGCTACACATAAAAAAAAATAAAGGGGGCTGGAGAAATAGTGGAGGGGTTAAAGGAACTTGCTTTGCTTGCATATGGCTGGTCCTGATTTGATCCCTGGTATAAGTATAAGTGCCTGTATAAGTGCCTGAGCACTGCCAGGGGTAAGCCCTGAGCACCACTGGGTATGGCTCAAAATAGAAAAAATTAGTTTTTTTATTTGAGCCACCCCCAGTGGTGCTTGAGTACCCCAAGCTGCCATTTTTCACGATTATTGCAGAACCACCAGCACTCTCCCCAACCCAGTTTTAATATCCCCGAACTGCCAAGATGTCACAATCATAGTCTCGTTGGTTGTTTTTATTATTTGATGGGTGAAAAAGCCTCTTGTTCTTGTTTCTGTGACACAATTTTGCCTTCTTTCTGCTGTGGGCAATTACTCTCCCTTTGTTCTTTATGGTTACCTGTAAAATTTTGCCTTGCATGCTTGACAAAGCCTCAGTTTTCCCACTGACAGACTACGAGATCCTCGGGCCATCCATGCTCACTCCTCTCCTGATTTACCTGAATGTCATTTCCTGCATGGGCTGGAGAGATAGCACAGCGGGTAGGGCATTTGCCTTGCAAGCGGCCAACATGGCCAACCCGAGTTCGATTCCTTCACCCCTCTCTGAGAGCCCACCAAGCTACCAAGAGTATCTCGCCCACGTGGCGAGCCCCAGTGACGTATTCAATATGCCAAACACAGTAACAATTGTCACAATGGAGACGTTACTGGGCCCGCTCGAGCAAATCAATGAACGATGGGAGGACAGTGACAGTGACAGTCATTTTCTGCATATCACTGACTCAGCCCCTTTGCTGTAGTAGTTGACCTTCCCTTTCCATCACTGACAATGCCTACAGTCTTCTTATTTTAACTTTGCCTTTTTGTTAAATAAACACGCCATGGTAGCTGTTGTCAACCTTCAGGAAGTGCCTCAGAGATACATACTTATACATTCACTGGTTTCTTATACTTTTTCTCCCAGACATTTTTCTAGATTAATTTTCCTTCTAAAGTAATTCTTTGGAAAAAAATTTAGGTGATATTTGTGGTAAGTTGTATTTTGTTTATCTGGAAATCATCTTTATTTTATTTTTTTGCCCTTGAACTTGATAAAATTGCTGGGTGTACAATTTTAAGTCTGCATATAGGTTGCTTTTCTCAACCTTTAAAGTTATCTCTTCATTTTCTTTTTGCATCTATTGAGGTCGAGGAGTTTGCTGCTAATCTTACAGCTTTTGTGTGCGACAATCTTTATTTTCTGGATTCTTTTTTAATATTTTTGCTCTAATACTAAGATTCTTCTAGCTCACCTTCATATAGAGATGAATTAGAGAACATTGATCCTATTTGGAATAGCCTGCGCTTGGGAATTCGTGTTTTGACTAAACTTTGGAAAAGTTTGGACCATATCTCTTTAAATATTGCCTTAGAAAGAATCACGAAGTCAATGATGGTTGGAGGTATCATTTGGGATGGGAGATGTGTGCTGAAAGTAGATAAAGGGCCAAACATGATGTCCTCTCATTATCTGTATTGCAAATCATTAATGCCCATAAGTAGAGAGAGAGTAAGAAGAAAATTGTCTCCCATAGAGGCAGGGAGAGGGTTTGGGGTGGGAGGAATATTGGGGACATTGGTGGTGGAAAGTATACACTGGTGGAGGGATGGGTATTCAGTCATTGTATGATTGACTCAAATGTGAAAGTTCTTCATAAAGTAACAAAATAGGAAACTAACACCCAAGTATGGCAGAGATTAGTACCAGGAATTTTACTCAATGACCCGGAGGACAACCACACATGTTAGGGGAAGGAGGAGCTCAGAAAGAGAAGGGAACACCAAATAAAGGGTGTTGGGAGGATCCGCCCATGATGGGAGAGCATGCTGAGGGTAGACTGTCGACCAAGCATGATTGCCACTCAATGCCTCTTTTGCCGACCATGGCACTCAAAAGGAGAGAGAGGGAAATGCCCTGCCACAGAGGCAGGGTGGGATAGGGGCTGGGGGGGGGGAGGGGATGCTGGGATCCGTGGTGGTGAGAAAGCGCACTGGTGGAGGGATGGGTGTTTGATCATTGTATGTATAATTGAAACCCAAGCACAAAAATGTGTAAGTCTACAACTGTACCTCATGGTGCCTCACTATTAAAAAATAAATAAATATAAAAAAATATGAAAGTTCTGTAACTGTAGCTCATGGTGATTCAATAAAAAAAGTGGGGAAAATATTGCCTTATCTGTTTATATACACTTGTTTAGCAAAATTATATCTTCTATCCTTACCTTCTCCTCTGGGATTCTGTAGAGCTGTGATTTCATCTTTGACTCCTTTCCTCAGTACCCCTCTTTCATCAGTTTCTCGTGGTTCTTTGTTCTATATATTGATGTAGATACAGAATTCTTCAGGTCTGTATCCACTTCACTAATGCTTTCAACCATGGCTAAAATGCTATTGAATTTTTAATTATCTATATATTTTATCATTCTAAAAAGTTTTACTTTAAAAATTCTGCTTAGGTTCTGGAGTTTCTTGTTGAGAATTTATTATTGAATAGTTGATTGTTTCGTGTTTGGTTAATTCTAACCTCTGAAAGTCTTGGGAATTTAAATATTGTTTATTGTTTATCTTGACATCTTCACTGTGGTTTTTTTCTCATGTGTTCGGTGATTTTGAATTTGAATACATAATTTAATATCTTAATTTCTGCTCCCAAATTTCCCCAGCCTCCCAAGCCAAACTCTCCTGCCTTTCAGTTCTGGGTTTGAAGATTTTCCTTCCTTTTTGCTGGCTTAACAACAAATAAAAATGGATTCAAGGAAGAATCTTGATCCAGAATTATCGTTGAGGTATGCCCACTCTTGGCACATCTAGTTTGACCACAACAGATAGCGTCACTAAATATTGAAACTAGATACTTATATCTCCTTTCCAAATATGGTACAAAAGCAGGTTTCCTGATTTATAGTATTTTCGGGCAGATATTTAAATTGTAGTCAAACTAATGAGCATATACTTGTAACAGTTTCATAAATGCACTGTCAGACACACAACCACATGAATTATATGTGTTATGTATCACAACAACCCCAGAAGATATGTAATAACTATTCTCATCCTAATGAGGAGGAAACATAACATCCCCTGGGGTGGTGGTGAGTGGGATGAAAATAAGAACCTTTCTGATTTCATGGTCTGGTTCTTAATTACTGGAGTGATAGCACAGCGGGTAGGGCGTTCACCTTACAAGCGGCCAACATGGCCAACCCGAGTTCGATTCCTCCACCCCTCTCGGAGAGCCCGGCAAGCTACCGAGAGTATTCGATATGCCAGACACAGAAACAATAAAGTCTCCAATGGAGACGTTACTGGGCCCGCTCGAGCAAATCGACGATCAACGGGAGGGCCTTTACCTTTACCTTTACTGAGGTATGATTTGTAGTAAATCTCATGCATTTTGATCAATTTTGATAGATTTTCAGGGGGTGGTTTTGGGTCATACCCCATGTGTCTAGGACTTACTCCTGGCTGTGTACTCAGGGACCACTCCTGGCAGGGCTCAAAGGGGCATGTGGCATGCGAGGGATCAGACCCAGGTTGGCCATATGCATGGCAAGTGCCCTACCTACTGTACTACCTCTCCAGCCTTGAATTTGACAAATTTTGACAAGTTCCTCTCACCCTCCATCTCAGGCATGATCTTAAAGCATTTCCACCAAATTATTTTATAGTTGTAATTAGTGCTGTCTCTTCTAGGTTGGCCTGG